ATGAGAAAGGAATAAAAAAGAACAAAAGAAAGAATAAATGAAGAAAAAAGATAAGAAAATGATGACAAAAGGCTAACGTGCAGGACGTAGTTCTCCGATTTACTGCGTTTAGACGCCGGCTTACCCTGTGATGCCATTCTGAAATAAATAATTAAAATAGAAAAAGTGAATCACTGTTGCATCGAATTCGCATTCTCGAATAATATTCCACAGATATAGTTAACGCCGTAGTTATTCATTAATTAACGAATTTGCGGACAGTTTGTTTCAAACTGTGAATATCGTAGCCTTTTTGCAAACAAGCACTAAGTCTGGTCCACTAAACAAATCGATCTAAAGATGTGCAAATACGAGAGTATCGCACCACTTGGGACATTAGGATTCCTTCATGAAGAGCTCGATCAACGTTACTACCAGGTTCGTTATAATGGTTAACCAAAAAAAAGAGGTCAAGAACTTTATTATAAACGTCAAAAATACACCCAGTGTTATGGCACTAGATGTTTAAATCGAGAAAACAAGCCCTATGACCGTAGTGGGTAGTTCGAGCGTAGCACGCAGCACCATATATGTCACGTGCGAAGGCCGGGAAAATGGAGTTATTAATTACTGAGATATCATCATTGTAACGGAAAAGTCTTATCCTGATGTGGTTGTGTTTCTTTAAATAATCATACTCCATAACGGAAAGAGTTAAGTCAGCAATGTCAGCATTGGCATTTCCCCCCCTAAGTACACCTCAAGTGTGATGAAAGATTGCCCCACCAAATCAAACATGTGTCTCGTTAAGAACAGTAAAAATAATAGACATAACCTTTCCCAATATGCAGTTGGCGGTATTGCGGAGTGGCGCGCTTGTATACCAGCATTTAGTATCAGAAAGCACAAGCAAATCCTTCCTTGCATTCGAAAAGCATAAATCAACTAGGTAGGTGAGGCGGTTCAGAATGTCAAAGTGTGGTAGGCTAGTGAAGAGATTATTAAAGTCAGCACTATACAAATATTCAAAATCATCATTAAAGGCTGTTAATTTATTGACATGCCCGCCGAGCTACGGATATTGAAACAAACCTGTCTTCCAGTGCTCTCTGCAATTTTATTGCAGTAATTACGGAAGTGACTCTGTAGGTGATCCAAAATACG